TCGCGGGCTTGCCCGCAGGCGGGGGAAGGCCGGGTTGATGGCGTGGAGGATGCGGTCGTAGGCGAAGCAGGCGGCGAAGTCCTTGGCGTAGGCGTTCTCCGCGAGCGAGAGGCTGCAGTTCGCGCCGTCGTAGGACGTGCTCGCGAGGACGACGGACGCGTTGAGCGCGGCGACGTAGCCGTTGAGCGCGGTCTCGGAGCCGTAGTCCTCGCCGCCGTGGCCCAGCACCGGGAGCGAGTAGGTGCCGTTGGCCGCCGCCCAGGCCTGGGCCATGAGGCCCGCGCCGTACTCGAGGCCCGGGAACCAGCCCCACGTGAGCGGCTCGAAGGACGTCATGGCCGCGAGCGACGACGCGGACAGGAGCGTCCCGTCGAAGAGGCGGTGCCAGAAGCGCGCGAGGTCCCGCGTCGTCGCCGCCACGTTGCCCGCGGTCCAGGCGTTGAGGCACGAGTCGCCGATGACGTCGAACCAGCCGTAGGTGCCGTTGCCGACGCGCGTCGCGTACTGGTGGACGACGCCGGGCACGTCCGCGCACGCGCCCCGGACGGGGAAGGCGAGGCCCGGCCCGGGGTCGCCGCCGAAGGCGAGCGCGCCCTGGTCCAGGGCCCGCCAGTCGCTCAGGTTCACCGCCGTCGCCGCCGCGAGGCCCAGGAGCAGGTAGCCGACGGACGAGTAGACGCCGCAGGCGCCCGGCGCGCAGTGGAGGTCGTGGGGCGCGTCGCCGACGACCGCCGTCGGGACGTACTCCTCGCCCCGGAAGGTCTTGTTCTGGTAGCGGGCGTCGTCGTAGTCCTGGAGGCCGCCCCGCATCTTGAGCAGCTCGAGGATCGTGACGTTCGCCGCGCCGGCGCCGTAGAGCTCGACGAAGGTCCGGCCGAGGTCGCGCCGGAGCCAGGGGTCGACGTAGGGCGCGACGCGGTCGCCGAGACCGAGCGCGCTGCGCTCCGCGAGCCGCAGGACGCCCGCGGCCGTGAAGGGCTTCGTCGCCGAGCCGAGCGGGATGAGGTCCTCGCGCGCGAGCAGGCGGCCGGAGACGCGGTCCTCGACCCCGGCGACGGCCGTGTAGACGGCGCGCGGGCCGTGGAACGTGAGGCTGAAGGACGTGTTGTAGTAGTCGGCGAGGAAGTCGACGACGCCCTGGAGCTCGTTCTGGAAGTACTGGCCCCGCGTGCCCGGCGCCTCGCCCAGGGCGACGGCGACGTCGCCGCCGGCGGCGCGACCGAGCAGGAGGAGGCCGGCGACGACGCGCAGCATGGCTGGTGTCGTATGGGCTGCCTTCCTACCTATCCCTTCAGCCTCCTCTCCGATATCGACGAATGAGAGGGCCGCTTCACTCGTATGGGCTGCCTGCGACGGATCCGGGCGGCCTCGTCTCGCGCCGATATATATCGACGAATGGGCAGCCTCGGAGGGGCGGTTCACGATACGAGGGATGGTTCCGTATCCGCTAATCAATGGCTCACGACGACGGAGAGCTGTGCATCGAGGTGGCGAAGGGAGTAGCGGTGCTGTCGTCGTGGTTGCGCAGCGGGACATCGAAGGAGCGCCTCTGCCGCCTCTGCGCGCCAGCACGTCGATGTTCCGCGTCTGCGCGGCTGCCCTCGGCCGCGTGGCCGTGCGCCTCCCGAGCGGCGCCGAGGCGCTCGTCGAGGCCACCGGCCCGACGGGCGCGGCGACGCTGCGCGTCGAGAGCGCCGGCGCCGCGCCGGTCGTCGTCCGGTCGTCCTGGGACGAGTTCGGGTCTGTCGTGCGCGCCGACGACGGCGGCCTCGAGGTCGTGTCGCCGCAGCGGACGTCGCTGACGCTCGCGGCCGGCGGCGACGTGGCCATCGTCGGCAAGGTCGAGGGCGACGACGTGCGCGCGGCCGCGCGGGGCCGCCTGTCCGTCGGGACGGCGCGCGGCGCGCGCGTGGCGCTCGCCGCGGGCGCCGGCCTCGACGCGTCGCGCCTCGTCGAGGGCGTCGACGTCGACGTCGACGTCGACGGCGCCGTGGCCATCGCGAAGCTCCAGGCGACGCGCGCGGCCGTCGCCGCGCGCGGCGGCGCGGTGCACATCGCCGCGGCCTACTGCGCGGACCTGTCCGTGTCGAGCGACGCCGTCGACGCCGGCGCCGTGACGCTCGACACGGCCCACGGCCGCGTCGCCGCGGCGGCGCCGAACGGCGGCGTCGTGCTCCGGCGGTGCTCCGGCGCCGCGGTGGTCACCTGCGGCGGCGACGCGGATCTGGCCTTCGACGCGGTGAACGGCGACGTCGCGGCGAATTCCGCGCGCGGCGACGTCGCCGTCTCCGTCGCGACGGACGTCGCCGCGGACGTGGCGCTGTCGGCGCCGCGCGTCGACGCGTCCGGCGCGGAGAACTTCGAGGCCGCGGGCGCCGAGCCCGGCGCGCTCACCGGCGCGCTCGTCGCCGTCGCCAAGCCGTTGAGCCGCAAGGGCGCGGGCAAGGTCGACGCGGCGGGCGCGGCGACGCAGCGCTGGGACTCGGCCGTGACGACGGACGCGCGCCGGCCGACCATCGCCGCGACGGCCGCGGGGTGCGCGTCGCTCCGGACGCTGTCCTGGATCGACTCCATCCGGCGCCAGGTCGGGCTCCCGGAGGGGTTCGAGCAGAAGACGCGCCGCGCGCGCGGGCGGTCGTAAAATTTTAGGGCGGACGAACTTCCGGGGGGGGGGGTTAAGGTTGGACGGGTAGAGGCGCTCTCTCGCAGCCGATCGCCGCGAGGTCGAAGGCGTCCTCCGCGACCTCGTCCTGGTGCGCGACGATTTTGCGGCAGCGCCGCAGGTTTAACGCCTCGACGGGTCGAATGACGGCAGGGCGACGACCACGCCGGCGGAGCCCGCCCTCGGGCCGGCGTAGGCGCCGCCGACGAAGCGCCTGGCCTTGCTCGCGCCGACGTCGTCGAGCAGCGAGCAGCGCCGCGTCGACGACGTCGCCGTAGAGGCGGCTCAGCGTCGTCACGGCCTCGCTCCTCGGCACCGGGACGACGGCGCCGGCGGAGCCCGCCCTCGGGCCGGCGTAGGCGCCGCCGACGAAGCGCCGGCCCTTCTCCGCGACGACGCCGTGGAGCCGGGCGTCGAGCTAGTTCCACATGTCGTCGCGGCCGGCTGCCCTTGGGGCTGGCGAA